CAAACTAACCTGTAAACCATTCTCTTTAATGAATTTGTGAAAAGAAATTTATAAATAAATAGCGTTGAATACATAGTCATAAATAAAATAAAACAATAAAATGGTGGGCTGCAAACAAAAATTTAGGATTTATTGCTTGATGGTATTACTGAATCGGGAAGCACTTGATTTTTGAGTTTTAGTACATATAATTTGTAGTTAATGGGAGTCATTGGTAAGTTTTAGCAATAAATGATAGTATGGTAATACAAAGGATCATATCTAGAGATGTTATCAATTTCACAATACGGTGACTAATTCGTGCATGTGGGAAAATATTGCCGTTGCTGACTCCGGTCACATAAAGATCAATCAGAAATGTGCTGATATAAAGTATTCAAACTTGTGGGTATTTTTGTTTTTCAACTAGTTTAAACTTTAAAGGAGTCTTTATATTTCATTACAAACTGAATTTCATAAATCTCAAATAATACTAAAAATTAAGATGGCAGGCCTTCCCCCGATAATATTTCAATCTCAGTTACATACCTTACGGTTCGTTTGAAGCTCCCCCGTTTGCTAACTTCTATAATTTTTCATATTTCATTCCAATTAAATTCCACAAAATATAGAGCTGGCACATTTCAACTGGCTTTAAATAAAGAAAAATATATAAAAAAAAGGAATAATTTAACCAGAGCCACTCTACAAAAATTTTGTAGCCAAGAAACTCGTAAACTATGATATCCCAAGTAAAAGATCCCAAAAAGACAGTCGACTTTAATCACTCAACACAAACTTAGAGTCGTCTTTTCACGATGGTAGATGGTATTAATAGCCCATTTAAGACAGGAAACTAAATGTTGGCAGACGGAATTTCAAACAACTATTAATATTTAATACTATCTACCAGCCTAAACAATATTTTAGCAGAAAAATTAGAACTGGTTCGTTCCATTTTTACAAAATCCAAAGAGAGTTCAGTTAACCAGAGAAACTCACAACAGGCTTGAAAGCAGTCCAAATGAGCACAAACGAAGAGGTCAGACCATGATTTTAGGAGAGAAAATATGGAGATTGAGAGAACAATATACATGATATACAATCAAATCTTGCACAAGATACACACTATCTCCCTATTTTAACCTTCTCTGATTAAGTTCGTTGGTTCACTCAAAACATACTTGGGTAGTTCATATTTTGCACCTGCAAGAAGGAAATATGAGAGCATAGCAAGGATTTCAAGATAAAGAAAAAATATTTCAAAGATTGATAACGTTATCTGAAAATACCTCTTTCATCATAGCAAATTGTCAAATCAGCATTTTGAACGATGACCCCTGCACTGTCAACAATAGCTTGAGCAAGAGTTAGATCAGCTTCAGCGGCAGCTCGAAGTGCATCCCAGATCTCTGGTGTCAGAAAAAAAAATACTTATATGTTACTAACATATATGATAAATGCAAAAGCATCTTTTTACAACAGTACTTCAGGTATTCATGAAAGAACAAAATCTTACAGGCTGTTGCGAGAAAAGAGCAATTAACCCCCTTCTCACATTTACTTTTCCGTAAAATCACACAGAACCTAAACAGATTGACAATTTACTTCTTGATATAATATATTTCAAAATCTTCTCCTAGGCATTTCATTATATTATAAAAAGTAGTAGTTTTTGTTAAGACTTGATTTCAAATTTATGTAATACAGCACTAGAGTTTCTCCCCTAAAAACTTACTCACGTGGATATATAACCCAACTCAACTCATTATGGATTATTTAGGGCAAGTGCAACTGTAAGCGTGAGTGCAACTCGAAATGGTTATTATTATAATTTATACAGCACACTACCTTACAAAACCGTCATACTAAGGTGATTGCTTCTATTTTATTGTGCCCCATCATGTTCTGCCTTTTAGCAATGCCCATTCTGTTTGGCCTTCTCCATATCCTAGGAAAGCAACTCAGATCAAGTAGACTCTGGTCTTGAATTTCTAATCTAGCTCATCATTCCTCGCAATTCTACTTTGCATTCCTTAAAATGTTAACCATCAACTGTCAGTTAAAATCATTGCAGTTCAGCTATGATTATTAACCGGTAAGTGTGTTATGGCAGCTAAACTTTTCATGCCACAGAGAGATTAGGACCAGAGGGCTATTCATAAGGTGATTTTGGAGTGCTTTTATAAGAAATGCTTTAGATGATAATCCTTATCACAAAAGCAAATTGTAGCATTTTGTGTGTAATGTGTATTTTCACCTCTCCATATGCATATTTAGTCTAAGAAAACAAAAATGTTCCCTTTTGGGTCAGCTGTAAACATCAACTCTCACCATTCCATTGCTTCTTATTCAGCTTTAATTGAACACTGAAACCTTTCAACAGTAAACAACTCCACGTATAATATCACTGCATCAGAAGTATAAATTTCAGTGAGACGACGAGTATAATCATCTTTTTATTACATTGAGGTAAATATGTACACAACAAATTTCTTCCCTCAGCCCCAACAATCATGTCTAAAATCCAATAGCAAAGCAACCAAAATACTTTGGCTAGATTTGTTGTTGCTAAATTATTCAATCAGTTCCGGATCAAACCTTTCAAGAAAACCATGGTGAAATTCAGTCTAAATGTATACCCTAAACCAAGTCAAACCCAATTGAGCACATCCTTTTTGGCCTTCCATTCATCCTTGCAAATCCTTTGACAATTTACCAGATGACTCCTAACACCTATATGTGGATCCACTTTGCACAAAACCAAGCCATCCAGGAAGAGTTTCCCTCTAGTCTGTTAGGCATACGCAGATCAAACTTTGGTGCATACTTCTGTACTTCAGTTAATCATTAACTAAACCATTAATCTTAACTAATAATGGTAACAGTCCTCAAATATTGATAATATCATCTTTTGCTTTAAGATTCTATAATCCTGTTAATCTGGAATAGCTTCAAACAGTAAAAATGATGCATAGAAAAGCAATATCTGGTTATGGCAAAGACTGAAAAAGCAAGCAGCAGTAGAACCTGAAGAATATAGTCTTGTTTCTTCATTCTACCGGGTCTAACATTCCTTTGCTGATTACTGCCTCTTAAACAGTAAAGACTTATAATCTTGTGGGTAATATATCATTTCCATAAAATTACCGATCTGTACTTTGTCAACCTCATTAACTACTCAGAAGAGACATGAGATTTTAGCAGTATGTCTTTTTCTTCTTATCAGGAATAGGCATTAACAACAAAACTGCCAATGGCCCATAGTGCACATTGCCCATTTATATAAAGGAATTCTGGTGGTAGTTCACACTTCAAGTTTTCCAAATGAAGACGGGTGGTAGGAACCCACTCCCAATTTGATAGGAATTGGTCCAGTAAGGCAATGGGCTAGATAGTGGTCTTTTTGTGGGCTTGGGTAGAATTCTCCTTGGAAAACCGGTTTGCCAAGGAAGGATGTCCAAATCCTTCTAAACTACATGTCCACCCCTTTTCCCTCTCAATGTGAGATCCTAACATTCCCTCATGCTTCGAGACCCAATGCCCTCGTTGGTCTTCTTTCTAGAGAGCACCTGCCCTCATCGACTACCCTGCTCTCGTCGGCTTTACTGCCCTCCCTTCGGATCTTACTCCGCCTAGAAGCCTGTCAGCAACTCTCCTTCTCGGCCCCTAGGGGGGCCCACTGGGCCCTACTGCATGGACTCAGAAGGTAGGGCCTGCTCTAATACCATTTGATAGGAACCCACTCCCAAATTGATAGGAATTGGGCTGGACAGTGAGCCTTTGATACAAATTGGGCTGGGAAATAGTCCTTTTATGGGCTTGAGTGGAACTTTTCTTGGAAAACCAGCTTGCCAAGGGAGAGTTCCCAACTTTTTATAAACCAAATGCCCACCCGTTTCCCTATCAATGTGGGATCCTAACAGACTACATCGATTTCAAAGACTGGAATGTACTTTATAGTTAACTCGTCCAGATTACCAAGCCCTAAGATGGGAAGCCAAGCCCTTGCCTAAAAAACCAGAGAAATAAAAAGACGGGACCTCAAAGCAAGACAAATTGCATATTGACACCCAATAGACAAGCCAACCCTTGCACAACCTTGACAAACATATCTTAGTCCATACGAAGCCAAAAATACCTTTGAGTATAGCCCAATGCCTTAATTAACCAATTTGGCAGGTCTAAGGTTCACAGAGGTAAAAAAAAAAACACAACTTTTTGCACGATCCAGCTCCAAAATCAGTCATCTTTATATGAAACGTCGTCAAGCACAATAATATTATATCTTAATGTCAACAAAAGTGAAAAATCAGCAACCTTATTTACTAAAAGAGTTTGTGAGATTGACAGTCAGATTGTGATAAAAGGTCCAACAAACATTTTGGGCAATTAATATGGTAATATGTCAGCATAAGGATTCAACTTACAGACCAAACCTAAAAATAGGGGAGCTTTTAAGGAAGTATTAAAGAAATCAGTCAAGTAAATGCCTTTTCCTTATATTCTCACACAAGGATCATGAATTCATCCTCTACTTTTCCAATATCATAAGCAATAAAGCTTAATGCTCCATAAAATACTTCTCCAGTAAACTATAATTGTCTGAGCCTCTCTGAAAGTAAATACAACTAGAAGACCAACTAAAGTGCAGTCTAAACATTTTAAGGAGAAAAAAGCTTAATGTATGAAAAAAAGTATAAGTTCGAAAATTCTCCACATACAGCTAATGCAGAGGAAAAAGGATTACTGAATACTTTTGTTAAAGCTTTTCTTTTTTATTTCAATCCTATAGATTTTAAAGCTATTTCCCTAACTCTAACTCTTATTAGTACTTATCAAACTCTCCCACAATATGGTGAAAATTGGATCACAGAAATGGCATCACTTAAAATTCTTCACAAAATACCTAAGAGGCGTTTTACATGCATCCAGGCCCACACATCATTTAATTAACTTTCTATGTCAGATGGTGTCACTTATGGGATTCATTAATCATTATTACTCATACTGAATAAAACAGGAAAGTAGTTCGAGTAATCAACAAACAATAAATTGTTTTCATATCCTTGGTCAAATAAGCAACTATTTTGAAGTTCAGATCTATAATGCCATAATAGTTAACCTAATCTTCAGTGTTGCATTGACAAATTTAGGAGAATTCTGAGGAACACTACCTTTCCGGCCACCATAATGCGGAGCAGTGTCCCAAAACTCATCACGCAGCTGCATCAACTGAGACTTCGTTATTGGCTGAGGATGCTTCCATGGCTTTGGCTTTCGAATCTTTTTCACCGCCCCTGCTATAACCAATTCCAATTACAATATTAATAGCTAAAACTCAAGATTAAGCTTCAAAGTTCATGGGATCCAAAAACACAAAAATTGAATAAATCTTTTACCATGAAAGTATTAACTAAATTGATTTAAACACCTCTGCACGATATAATCCATATCCATCAATTACAAAATATATATATTAAATGAGGCATTAAATCCAACAAGATTGACAAATTTTCATTCATACTTGTTAAAGAGGGTTTCATTAAAATATCTAATATCGTTTTCTTTTCGTAGTACTTGGCACACACTATTTTTCGAAATTGAGATCAGCAAGAAAGTTATTTAACTTTAATAAAGCCACAATTAACAAAGTGTCCAGGATAGATCTCTTCATCTTAGCATTCTAAACATATATCTCAATTTGCATGTTTTAAACATGTATTTAACCACCATACTTAGCAAAAACAAATCCAAATTTCATATTCTTGCCACACTAAATTTCACTTTATCAGCGATTTTCAGCCGTCCGATCAAAATCAAGCTCAAAAGAAAGCCTGATCATGAACCAAAACGCGAGTTCATCAATCGTATCGTGACACTAAAAATGCATTTGATCAAACAGTTATGAGTTCACAAAATATCAAACTAAACTTAAACTAAAGCAAACGAAAACAGACGGTGAACCTTATAAAAGGTGATGCACACGCAATTGAGCAACAACAACAAGAATCAAACAATCGATGTGATATAAAGAAGTGAAAGAGAGTGAGGTGATTCACCGTCGGCTTTGCTCTGCGAGGATCCAGCGCAGCCCATGCTGATGCTGAATCTTTGCTTCAAGATTGGAGGTTTTTGCCGCTGTTGTTGTTCAGGGAGAAATTTACAAGACACAGAAATTCATTGAAGTGAAGTTAATTAATAGTAATAATAAAAATAAAATAAGAGAAGCTGATAGCGTGAAGGAGTGAGAGAGTGAGAGATATTTTTTTTTTCCTTTTCCGGTGAGAGTCCCTGCGGTTTCTCCCGTGAGTTGAAAAACAAGTCAAAGCTAAAACAATTAATAAAAATAAAAAGTAGACGATGATGATTATTATGATTGGATAATAATAATAATAATAATAATAATATTTTTATTTATTATTATTATTGTAATTAATTAATTATTAGCCATTTTCTTTGTAGACTGGGCAGTAAAAGTTATGTGAGTTGCTTGGCTGTGATGTTCCTACTTCCTCGTTTGTGCAAGTTAGTTGTGCTTATGTCACCCTAGCATAATAATACGATTATTTATAAATTCTTTTTAATAAAATAAATTAATATTAGCCTTAACATAAATCTTAAGATATACGTTAAACCCACAAACAAATAAAAAATATTGAACTTGAAAAACACATTTTTCAGCCTTTATGTTGATATAATATATAAAAATAAATAAATTTTTTTTGTCTCTTTACGATCTTAACGTTAAAAACACGTATTAAAAATATAATTTGTGCATTATTAGAAGCGTTTACATATATTTAACAATTAGGTCAAAATTATTGCATTCAAGCAATTTTAATCAAAATTTTAGAAAGATTGGTGACACCAACATTGGTCTGAAGAATTTATATAAACTATAGACACTTTCGAAATTTTTTAAGGCTGTTTGGTTGCATTTCAAAAGTATTTATAGAATTTTAAATAAAGTATTTAATGGTTTATGATTTTGGGCTTCTCTCATAAACTCTTTTTCAGTGTATTAAAAATGCTGAAATTTTAAATGTATTTTCTTTTCAATCTTATAAATTTCTCTTGATCTATTCTTATATATTAAAACTCTTTTTAGTAAATTAATATTAAAAAACTCTTTTATGTTTTCATAATCAAACAATTAATAAAATTTTCATAAAAACTCTTCTTCTATAAACCCCTCTTTCATAAACTCTACTTAAAAAAGTTGTACCAAACGGTTTAGAAAATGCTTTCTCGTATTTGTGAAATAAAAAAATAAATTTTAGTTGGAAGTAATTTAATATGGAAAGATCCCAAAAGTTAAAGTCCTTTTTGAGCACTGATATTAGATAGGGTGAGTTAATCAGCAATCACTTGTCTAAATCAAAGAGGCTGCAAAGTGATAGACCAAAAAAAGGTGCTTTTAATTGTTCAAGTATTCAAACATGATGCAAAACTTTTTGGAGTCACGGGTTATATCAACAAAGCAAAGTAAAAGTTCATCCTTATTTGTTGGTTCTTTCATGGTTATCAGTTCTGCTGTTCACATGTTCTTCATCTTATATCAGATTTTTCACCTACAAAATCTAATATTGCATTACCCATAAGTTAACCGACTTTGATCTAATTCTGTCTAGGGCATTTGTTATTTTTTCGTTTACAAGTTATTAGAATGATATAGTAAGTCTTACAATGAAATTTTATCCGACCTGTTGATATTTGATTCATCCTTCGGAATCATAACATATCTCGAATATAATGAAACAAAATTAATTGAGACGTTATATTGTAAATATGTAATTATCTTGAATTTATCAAGTTATCAACTATTTCTTTATTTTCCAATCGTCTGGAAGGAACAAACAAAACATCTTTTTTTTCCTTCAACAACTTCTGGTCTCTAGGGAACTTCTTAGTAGGTTTCTAACTCAAACAAAGATCTAAACGTTTGTTAAAGAGGAAAATAAAAACAAGACTCTCAAAAAATACTTCGAACGTCATAAAAGGTTTTGACCTCATTTTTAGTTGATATTATCAAGTTTGATTTATTTTATGACTATTATCGATCAGTACTCTATGTTTAGAGTAACTATAATCGACCTTCAAAGTTATGATCTAATTCCATGAAATTTTAAAGTAAAACTTTGATTTGAATCATGATTCTAACTTTCTAAGTGGGCACTAAACTAGATAAGATCGTAATTAGGTTATCTTTAACAATATTTTTGTACTAAATATTCTATAACAGAAATGGTTTATTTAGAAAAAAGAAACACACTTTTTGCTTATTTGCAGCCTCAAAAGCACTTCCAAAGCACTTTACACAGTAACATCTCACCCACCATAAAGGAAGAATTTGCCATCACTGGTTAGGTTTTTGACAGATTGGCTGGGAAATCACTTTCAGTCCTTCCATTTGCTTTAAAAATTCTTCTGGGGTCAGTCAGGCATGATTATAGCTCATTTTTTATATGTTAAAAAAATACTTCTGTGGAAAGAAAACTGCTTTCTACAATGGAGAATGTTAGCTTTGTCTCCTGTGTGTCCCAATATGTTCCCTTAATACTATCATTGCATACACATTTGCTGTTAAAAACTGTCAAATGGTGCCATTTAGCAGAAGTATTAGCTAATAGTTATACAGATAAAAGCAAAATGATTCTTCAATTTTTTAGAGAACTACTGGAAGTAGATTCTGAAGGGCTGCCTACAATAAGAAAACAAAAACAGTTCCACAAAACTTACTCATCCTCTGCACAACTGAGTTTTTAACAACCATGGTTCTAAGAAATTATCATTTTCTTCTAGAGAGGTGACAGCAGCTGGATAAAAATTTTATATATTAGAACACTCAACAATATTTTGCAGTACTTCCATGTGTTGCAGCACTCAGACCGAGAAACATTCTTTCTGACCAAAGCTCCTGATTACAGTTTTGGTTCAATTATGGGGTACACATTACATGGTGCGAAGCAAATAAAAGATAAAACGAAAAGTTAAAAAGTTGAAATTACCAGCACAGAGAGAGTAATCTCTAAGAGTTTTATGTATATATTCAAAAACGGTAGGGACCGTCCTCATACTTGCTCCTCATATTGTAATGATCGAACTTCAGGTTGTCATAATCCACTGGCTTGACCTCAACTGGTTTTGGATCCACCCCACTTGCTCCATAAATAACCTCTTCACTTCTATCGCGTTGACGATGTTTTGTTCTTTCTTTCTGGCTCTTAGACTTGACGTAAGGAGGTTCACCTGACCCATAGAAGTCTGCATATTCTTGTCGCTTTGAGGACCGGTGCTTGGTTGATAGAGAAGGGTCCTTAAAACTGGATGATTTGATCTTTGGGGGTTTCGCTTCTGAATATTTATCAGTTGTATTGGGAGTATGGATGTGATGGGCTTCAGATAGCGGAGCAGCTGACTTCTGCCTTTGCATTAATGGGGGCTCAACTTCATCTTCAGGCATCCTAAGAGTATCCCTCAATGGCATCAGACCCTTGGAGCCACCGGGTCTGGTACGGGAGGGGATGAAGTAAAGGAATACGCCACCAATTGCCTCAAAGGCAAACTTGGAAAGATCAATAATTAGTTGTCCGAAAGATGGCCATCCTGGTTCCTCTTTCATCCTATCCGCAATTAGAGTGGATTTCTCCTTATTTGGCTGTTCTTTGAATTCGCTCTCAAAAGGTTGTTGCTGCAGCAGTTCATAAATCAGATTAAGCACAGAGTGAAAAAATATAAGCGAACCAACATAGAAATTTTACTGGGGCAGGAAAATATAGTACACCTTGATCTTCAAATATCTAGGGAAATTATATTTCAAATACACTAAAACAACATAAACAGCAATGAACCATTACACTAAATGATTAGAAAATAGAAATACAATTCTTTTGGTCTCTATGTGTACAGCTTGTTCACTTCTCTGTATATCCTTTGATCTTTTCTAATGAAGTTTTTAGTATTTTCTACATATAAAATGGCTTGCCAGGAGAACATAGAAAATAAGTAATGCTTCGGCAGAAATATCATTGTTGGACTACTTCTAAGCATCTAAATTTTCTATGCTCTTCATTCCCAGGTAATCAAAGAAATAAAAAAAAAAAAAAATTCCTACGAAAAAAAGATACCGTTCTTGAGAAGAAAGAAGGTCCAAATCCCTGCTGAAGCATGCAGGTAGCATATCCAACCAAAACAGCGCCTATTACCATAAGTATATCTGCCAAAAGACCCATAAATATATCAGCCAGTAGGGGAGAGTTAAAGCTGAAATGGAACAGAAAACTTAAGTGATGATGAAATAGAGCTTCGTATATACAGATTAAAACAGATAGCTACTATAGGAAAAGACCAGTAACATATCAAACAATTTTGGAGACCCAAAAAAATGTTTAAATGCATATCAGTATTGAAGATCTGGACAGCTGATCACCAGAGTAAAGCAGAGTTTTGATAACAAAACAAATCTATGCATCGATCAAATTCGGAACTTTGATTTTCTAAAACGGACATGGAATCCACATCTCAACTAAAATATAATTTTGGACAAGATCATATTCAGATGGCCTAATTGCTTGTCCCTTAGTACTAGAGTGGAATATAGTACGAAATCAGCATTAATCTGTTTCAAGATGAAGCCACTGATGCATCTAAAGATCATGCCCATCAACATGTAGAATGCATCTAAAGATCATGCCCATCAACATGTGGAATAAGATGAAACAACTAATGATTAATCTACTAAGAAAGTACTTCAGTTGTATATATTCATGAAACCACTAATCTTATAATGGTTCTCAAAAATAGATATTCCTGCAGCCAAAATGGAAAATTTTCCCAATTTCTGCAGCCAAAAACACCCCTCTGGGACTATTTTTGGCTTAATACCAAGTTTCACTTAATCCTGTTGTATTACTAGTCTCTAGGGAACTTCTTAGTAGGTTTCTAACTCAAACAAAGATCTAAACGTTTGTTAAAGAGGAAAATAAAAACAAGACTCTCAAAAAATACTTCGAACGTCATAAAAGGTTTTGACCTCATTTTTAGTTGATATTATCAAGTTTGATTTATTTTATGACTATTATCGATCAGTACTCTATGTTTAGAGTAACTATAATCGACCTTCAAAGTTATGATCTAATTCCATGAAATTTTAAAGTAAAACTTTGATTTGAATCATGATTCTAACTTTCTAAGTGGGCACTAAACTAGATAAGATCGTAATTAGGTTATCTTTAACAATATTTTTGTACTAAATATTCTATAACAGAAATGGTTTATTTAGAAAAAAGAAACACACTTTTTGCTTATTTGCGCCCTCAAAAGCACCTCCAAAGCACTTTACACAGTAACATCTCACCCACCATAAAGGAAGAATTTGCCATCACTGGTTAGGTTTTTGACAGATTGGCTGGGAAATCACTTTCAGTCCTTCCATTTGCTTAAAAAATTCTTCTGGGGTCAGTCAGGCATGATTATAGCTCATTTTTTATATGTTAAAAAAATACTTCTGTGGAAAGAAAACTGCTTTCTACAATGGAGAATGTTAGCTTTGTCTCCTGTGTGTCCCAATATGTTCCCTTAATACTATCATTGCATACACATTTGCTGTTAAAAACTGTCAAATGGTGCCATTTAGCAGAAGTATTAGCTAATAGTTATACAGATAAAAGCAAAATGATTCTTCAATTTTTTAGAGAACTACTGGAAATAGATTCTGAAGGGCTGCCTACAATAAGAAAACAAAAACAGTTCCACAAAACTTACTCATCCTCTGCACAACTGAGTTTTTAACAACCATGGTTCTAAGAAATTATCATTTTCTTCTAGAGAGGTGACAGCAGCTGGATAAAAATTTTATATATTAGAACACTCAACAATATTTTGCAGTACTTCCATGTGTTGCAGCACTCAGACCGAGAAACATTCTTTCTGACCAAAGCTCCTGATTACAGTTTTGGTTCAATTATGGGGTACACATTACATGGTGCGAAGCAAATAAAAGATAAAACGAAAAGTTAAAAAGTTGAAATTACCAGCACAGAGAGAGTAATCGCTAAGAGTTTTATGTATATATTCAAAAACGGTAGGGACCGTCCCCATACTTGCTCCTCATATTGTAATGATCGAACTTCAGGTTGTCATAATCCACTGGCTTGACCTCAACTGGTTTTGGATCCACCCCACTTGCTCCATAAATAACCTCTCCACTTCTATCGCGTTGACGATGTTTTGTTCTTTCTTTCTGGCTCTTAGACTTGACGTAAGGAGGTTCACCTGACCCATAGAAGTCTGCATATTCTTGTCGCTTTGAGGACCGGTGCTTGGTTGATAGAGAAGGGTCCTTAAAACTGGATGATTTGATCTTTGGGGGTTTCGCTTCTGAATATTTATCAGTTGTATTGGGAGTATGGATGTGATGGGCTTCAGATAGCGGAGCAGCTGACTTCTGCCTTTGCATTAATGGGGGCTCAACTTCATCTTCAGGCATCCTAAGAGTATCCCTCAATGGCATCAGACCCTTGGAGCCACCGGGTCTGGTACGGGAGGGGATTAAGTAAAGGAATACGCCACCAATTGCCTCAAAGGCAAACTTGGAAAGATCAATAATTAGTTGTCCGAAAGATGGCCATCCTGGTTCCTCTTTCATCCTATCCGCAATTAGAGTGGATTTCTCCTTATTTGGCTGTTCTTTGAATTCGCTCTCAAAAGGTTGTTGCTGCAGCAGTTCATAAATCAGATTAAGCACAGAGTGAAAAAATATAAGCGAACCAACATAGAAATTTTACTGGGGCAGGAAAATATAGTACACCTTGATCTTCAAATATCTAGGGAAATTATATTTCAAATACACTAAAACAACATAAACAGCAATGAACCATTACACTAAATGATTAGAAAATAGAAATACAATTCTTTTGGTCTCTATGTGTACAGCTTGTTCACTTCTCTGTATATCCTTTGATCTTTTCTAATGAAGTTTTTAGTATTTTCTACATATAAAATGGCTTGCCAGGAGAACATAGAAAATAAGTAATGCTTCGGCAGAAATATCATTGTTGGACTACTTCTAAGCATCTAAATTTTCTATGCTCTTCATTCCCAGGTAATCAAAGAAATAAAAAAAAAAAAAAATTCCTACGAAAAAAAGATACCGTTCTTGAGAAGAAAGAAGGTCCAAATCCCTGCTGAAGCATGCAGGTAGCATATCCAACCAAAACAGCGCCTATTACCATAAGTATATCTGCCAAAAGACCCATAAATATATCAGCCAGTAGGGGAGAGTTAAAGCTGAAATGGAACAGAAAACTTAAGTGATGATGAAATAGAGCTTCGTATATACAGATTAAAACAGATAGCTACTATAGGAAAAGACCAGTAACATATCAAACAATTTTGGAGACCCAAAAAAATGTTTAAATGCATATCAGTATTGAAGATCTGGACAGCTGATCACCAGAGTAAAGCAGAGTTTTGATAACAAAACAAATCTATGCATCGATCAAATTCGGAACTTTGATTTTCTAAAACGGACATGGAATCCACATCTCAACTAAAATATAATTTTGGACAAGATCATATTCAGATGGCCTAATTGCTTGTCCCTTAGTACTAGAGTGGAATATAGTACGAAATCAGCATTAATCTGTTTCAAGATGAAGCCACTGATGCATCTAAAGATCATGCCCATCAACATGTAGAATGCATCTAAAGATCATGCCCATCAACATGTGGAATAAGATGAAACAACTAATGATTAATCTACTAAGAAAGTACTTCAGTTGTATATATTCATGAAACCACTAATCTTATAATGGTTCTCAAAAATAGATATTCCTGCAGCCAAAATGGAAAGTTTTCCCAATTTCTGCAGCCAAAAACACCCCTCTGGGACTATTTTTGGCTTAATACCAAGTTTCACTTAATCCTGTTGTAATAAATAAGATAAATCAATCAAAAGAAAAGAGAAATAGTTCAATGATTGGTATTTTGGTTATTAAATATATGCTAAAAGTTAACATGAATATGAATCACAATGATGCAGGAAACTGGATGGCTCCATGGTGGAGAGCACAATCCAGAACACAGAAATCTATCCTGGATGGCTCCATGGTGGAGAGCACAATCCAGAACACAGAAATCTAGCTAGGCATAATCAATATAGCTATTCAGGGTTAATGTATTTCCTACACTAGCAATCTCCGGTAAAACCAGATGGGCTTACAAGAGAATCAAGATTCAGAAACCAGTAAATTTCAGTTGAAACACTGGCATTTTATCATTTGATAATATCAGTCATTATGGCAATATTCCAATTCCATGTATGGCAGAATTACTTATCAACATAACTATCTTAGGTTTCAAGAAACGTATTCTGGACGTATTATATATTGCCTCTAACACTTTCTAGAATATGCAACAGATATAGATATATTCAAGATCGTTATGATCTTTCATTTTAACTCAGTTTCCTTCAACAGGATAAAAGTCCAGTGATTTACAATGAGTAGTTCCTGCTACATAATGCCCCTTCATAAGAAAGTCACAACTTTAGGTATAAAGCTAGAAGTTAATCATTCAAATGGTTTTCCATGTATATTAAAGTTCTTATCAGACTTGGTAGAAGTAACCAGAAAAGTGAATAAAAACATAATTTCACCAAAAAAGTAGTTAGAGCCTCACGAGTTCAACAAACCCACAAAGAGTAATAAATATCTCATTCAAAAAGTTCACCTGATATTTTTCATTAATTACAAATATTTTTGAGAAAGAGATCGGTCTAATAACTATGGCAATCTATAGAAAGCTAAATATTAACTCTTCAACATTTGCGCAAGTTTACTTGAAGTGCAAAACTTATCAAACTGCCTTCCAGCACAGCCAAAGGTAAACTAGATCACTTTTACAAGATTTCGATTTTCAATTAACCATGTGCAAGAAGCAATGACAGGAGAAAATGTGCAGAACAATGCCTCTGACATATAACTAAATTTTGAACAATTTTCGAACATGCAGTTGGCAAACAGACATCACAGAATGAGTTAACAATTATTAATGAGATAACTTTATCTTACTTCAGTGGCCCCAAACACCACATTGAATAGTAATAAAACAACATCACCTCTAATAAAGCTAGCTTATGTTATGGACACAGTACATTTGCAACCCAAGGCAAGATCACAAAAATCACATCATTAGATGGATGTTTAGTTTAAAAAAAAAAAAAAAAACTTATAAAGCAAACAAAAGTCAGATCCAAACCTGTGGGAGAAATGGAATCAGCCTGATATTCACAATCATCTTGGTTGAGTGAAACTTGTCGAAGAGCTGCATTTCCTCTATCAACAACTAATAAGGAACAGGTGGGTCGAACGTATACCACATCGAAATCATTTGAGAACTTTGCATCCTCACTGGGTCCATCTCTGAACCCTGCAACATTTGATTTCCCTCCAGCAATGGTTGTCACCCCTGCAAACAGTAGCCAAACTTAACAACCCCCTATCTCATAATATCCACCATCATAATGTATCACCAGAAAATCTTCTAAAATACTAATATATCATTATATTTGTATAATTACAAACAAAATTCAACTTTGGTTACTATTCTAGTATACCATACGCTAACACAATGTCAACCAAGCTTCTAATTTGAACTCCACATACCTGCATCTCCTATCTTTCTGATTGCAAGATTCAAAGTATCAGCAACATACAGGTTCCCTTTGTCATCCATGGTTACACCTTTGGGATGATTGAATCGAGCTTCATTTGGCTTTCCATCCACATGTCCAGTGTAACCCTGAAATGACCCAGCAACCAATCTTCCCCGGCTATCTACAACAATTAGAAATGATAAACAAGAAACACAATCAAGAAATCATATAAACGATAAACAGCTCACTTTTCATCTACAAATTAAAGAGATAAAGAAGAATATACTACATTAACAACTATGACATATAAGTAGGATACAATTATAGCGTTGCACAATTAGAGTCTCACTTTTCAAAAAGGTTAAAGAGAGTTATGCTCTATATTTTCACAATGAAATACAATATACTATTGAAGAATTAATATCTGCACCTGATATTCTAAAGTAGGATGGTCCTATCCTGTACCTAGGCCACATGGTTAATCTACACAAAATAAAAAATAAATAAAAAATCATAATATTAATCATTGAAAAGTGGTGTGTGTGTGGTTTTTTTTTTTTTTTTTTTTTTTTTGTCTTCTTGTAATTAAATTTCATGGATAGAATCAATTTTTCGTATTTAGTGCCCTTGAATGTACATGTTAATAGAACCCTTTAAATAATTCCACTTTACAGAAGTTAAAAACCTCAGGAAAATGAAGCAAAAGAGTTGCATTACACTTAAAATGGAGCATTTCTTTGTTTAGGTCCCAAACAACACAAAATAAAGGATTCAAAAACCAGCAGATGTTTCTCCAAGCACTTATGAAGCAACAAAATGGAACTTGAGATGAAACAATTTTGCCAAGACAAAGGAAAGGAAAAAGCATACATTGGGACAATGGTGGAGTGATTTTTACAATGTTGCTATTGACTTCATCAACAGCAAACAGCTCGCCATCCTCAGAGACCCGGATCTTGTACGGAACTACTCCAATCTCGTTCCCTTCAACCACAGTTTCGACTAAGTAGCCATTTTCAAATTGAAGAACATTCCCATCTGTGACAAATCATTACATAACATATACTGAGTTTGATTACTTAACAGGAATTAGTAAAATGAACATATACTAAAAAACTTATAGAATTTTATCAACTAACCAGATTGAGGTGCTTTAGAGGATGATCTGGTTGTCCATTTTAGAAGAGAAGACAGGTGCTTTATCAAAGGCCCTGAGCATGAGAATTATTTTTAAATAAATGTGAAACCATAGCCAAAAAACACAAGCAAACCCACCAAGTAAATAGCTATATAATCAAGATATTCAAGCAAAACAGAACAAGCAGAAACATTGTATTAATCTGAAGAACTCAATTAGCAGTACAATAAATCAAACAGATCACTAGAACCCACAACCAAAACAATTGAAATACTATAAATTATGTTATCATCTAACCTGATAAAGCACAGTGATTCTAAAAAAAAAAAAAGAAGTGAAATAACCCAAAATCAAAACTATAATAAAAAGCATGATATAACTGAGAGCGACATCCCATTATAAACAAATAAAAAGAGTAATAAACTAATAATAAAAGCACAATGAACCAAGCTATAAAAGTGAATAAAACGGAAAACTAAAGAAATCCCATTTAACCAACAAGCAGATTCAAAGAAGAAAAAGCAAGAGAGTTACCAGCAGGAGCAGCATGAGCTTGAAATTGAAGAGTAAAAGCAATCAAAAGAGTTAAAGTGATGAAAAGATGAGATTCCCTCATGGCTGCCTCACTAAGCTAAGTAAAAAAGAAACCTCAGTTTCAGAGAGGAAGAAAGATCAGAAATGGGACTGTTTTGTTGCATGTAATGGTGAAAACATGAAGCAGAAGTGGGCAGAGAAAGAGATACACAAAAGAAGTACTGGGTTCAGTGTTTGTGGTGGCTCAGTTTGTACTGGTTTCCGAAGTTTCAGCTTGTTGGGCAACAGTGGAAACCAGCTTTTTGTTAATTTCTGTATTTGTCAAAAATGTTGAAGTGAAATGGGAGAAAGCAGATGGGAAAGCACGGCTTTTAATTTGCCCAAAAAAATAAAAAAGGTGAGATTTCCTAGGAGGAAAAAGAAAAAGGAAAATAATTTGGGAAGGGGGAAAAGATAAATATAAAAAGTTCAGTTTTCAAGGGAAGAAATATGAAGTGGGCAATAAGTCGGTACGTCATAATAGCCATACAAATTTTAATTTAAAAATTACCAGGGAAATAACAATTTCGTCTCTAAGGTTTGGTTTAGAATAGAATTTTTTAATAACGTTCCAGTCCCTATTTTAGTATCATTACCAGTTACATTTTGATTAAGGATGAAAAAAAAAAAAAAAAACCCATAAACCCGTGCTAAACAGAAAAGCCAATGATTCAGTATGGTATGGATTGTTAGTTAAAAAAAATCCTTTAAATTTTTTTCTAAGAATTCGTATAATACAGTTTTCAAATCTTAGTTTATTTGAACTAAATCGTTTAATTTTTAATTTTTTAACAATGACCTATAAAATTAACAAAACCTTCCCTTAAAAAACCGATAAAATAAACTGTCTTGAATCATTCTTTTGGGTACGATCCTATTGTTAAACTAATATGTCACTATTTTTTTTACAATTTTTTCTGATAATCAGTTTGGTTCGACCAAGAAACATAATCATAACGCATTTGTCATCCCTAAGTTTGATCCTGAAATTTGTTAATAATTGGTATTAAAACGGCTCAAAAACATTCTAGGAGACTAAAGCCAACCTCTGAGGATGAAATTGATATTATCCTGAATTACTGTGGACGGGCCATAGCAACTCAACTCTGCTACAGATTTTGCTGCACGTCAGCGGAATAAAAAGGTTGGAGAGAATCTAACCTATGCTACATTGAAGACTATGCGTGGGCCTGATCAGTGAAATTTTGACACAAATTATCACATTTTAAATAACAATCATATTAATGTTGAATGGCTTGAAAAATAACTAATTATTTGGTGGATTACAATTTACAAAATAAATATATAACGGATTTCATACATGGAATAGAAAATCAACTTGTGAAAATTTCATAGTGGATCTAAATGCTTTTATGTTAAACTTATCCCAAATTAAATAGACCCCATTGTGACAGCCACATGGTGGCAATAATATTTTTTTAGTTTTTTTAACATATCAGACAAATCTTTATTTGATATGGTTATTGTCTTGTTCAATTTCGACACATATTGATTTGACCTGGATTCAAATGCTAAAAAATGAAGAACAAAACGTTTGGTAATTGTCATTTCTAAGAGTTCGATTGGTACAATTTATTCGAGTATAACTTATTGGAACAAGTTTATAAAAATACAACTTTTATTAAAAAAAAAAAAAAAAAAAAAAATTGTTAGTTAATTATTAGGAAAATGTAAAAGAGTTTTTTAGTATTAATTTAGAGTAAACATTTTTTTTCCCATCCAATGTTCGCCTTAATACCACTTTCCCATCCAAAGTTTATATTCCGTTAATATCCAAAATACACTTCAATCTCTCAATTGGCATTCAACGAGTTACCAAGAGTCAGGGTAAGGGAGGTTTTGTAGGGTAGAGACCGGTGAATCGAATGGTGGTGACTAATTGAATATTCGTCGCGGAATCAGTTGAAAATCAACTAAAAACAAGAAACTCTAGCTCTATGATAGCCAGTAATTAGCGAGAAATCAGGTGTCAGAGCTAGAGATGTTTCGTTTAAAGGATATCGAAGGTTCAAATAGTGGTGACGAAGAGAATTTTCGTCACTAAAATCGGTTTTGTATAATAATAAATATTAACTTTGGGTGGAAAAGTGGTGTTTTAAAACTTTTTAAGTGGAAAAGAGTCATTAAGGCAAACCTTGGGTGGGAAAAAGCCGTTTATTTTTATTAATTTAATGCATGTTTTTCTGACAATTTCTTGTACACAACTTGGTAATATGTAGAAAAAAAAACAGTAAGAAAAAAAAAACAGTAAGAATTAAATGAAAGCTCAAACTATTAAAATAAGGTTTTTCAGGTATAAATAATTACTATTTTTAATTAAAGTACGTTAAATTTCTTTTATAAAATATAACAATGAATTAATATTAAAATATTAGTTATTCTTAAAACAATACTTAATATTGTATGTTAGTATAATCTCATATATGTAAAACAATAAATATTTTATTTAACATTATTTAGTAAAACCTGGACCCAAGTCTGGCCTTTTAATTTTTTTTCATGGTCTGAGCCCAACTCGAATTAACCTTGGGCTTATAATTCCAAGCCCAGCCTTCTACATAACAGTATCTTGCAATTGGAGATCGTGTAACTTTTGCATGTAGGCACTCCAAGTTTGAAAAATCCTTGCCTTATTAAAATTTAATGGACCCTCGAAGTTTAAAAACTCTATCATAAATATCCCTTTGCCCTAACTTTTATTACATTGTCGTTAGGTTTACAAATCACTTTATAAGACCAAGTTACCATTTTACCCTAACAATTTCTTATTAGACAAAAGTTGTCATTTCACTCATCTATCACAAATGGTAAAATAACAGAGTTAGGGAAAAAAAAAGTATCACCGGAATGATAAAATTAAAAACCTTAATGATAGTTAATGATATTCTCCCATTTTGCAATTCCTATTCAAACCTAAGTTCATTTCTATCATGTTAAGGGTTGCAGTTAAATCTTATGTTTTTCCAAGTATAATCTTATATTAACACTCAACATCTTCATTCGAAAGAGAGGGAAAAAATAGTGAACGTTATTACCCATAACATAAGAAGTAAGAAGCACATTATGTTACAGTTAAATTGTTTCATATTATATTTTGATACAACAAATCTTATATTTAGTGTTACAAATGTAATACGATTGTCATAATTGTAGACGATAAAATCTACGGTTGATTCGGAAGGGATGGATCTTGTGAGAAGCGAGTCACTAACAATCGAATGGACTTGCACAGAGAGAAAACGAACGTGAAGGCTTGGGGGACACTGGTGTGGTGTTTGTCATAGGAACTCCAACACTCAAGTCAGTACGGTTGAAGGTACTTAGTGAGGGTTGAGAGTTGGAAAGGGTTTATTGTAATGTAGCTAAGGCTAGACTAACACAAAGTGGTCGGAACACAGCTTTGCAGTGGTGGAAGGTGGTAAAGTTAGTTAGAATTAAGCTTTATGGTGGGGAAAATAGAGATTCTTGGGAGCAAGAATTTAGGAGCTAAAGCTATATAGGTGATTTTTGAATTAATAATGAAAGGCTTGACCTCTGTTTAATGGAGCTTGAGTCCTAGTAGAACTCTGAGTCCTACTTGGTAGAAGAGTTCGAATTAGTAATGAAGTCTTGTGACTTGCCTTTAACGGATTATGACTACCAATTCAAGTAAGATCTTGAATCTTGACTAAAGTGATAAGTAAAGAGGATTTTAATTCCTATTTTGAAATAAATGTGGGCTAATATGTTGGAGCTCGATTCAGCTTAACTTGTAGGAAGACCCAACTCATGAAGTGGTCAATCCATATGATAAATTTAAGCGTAGGCCTAACTAGAATTGGGTTAAGGCACTAGGCCATATTCAGTGTGTTTCATTATTGGGTCTAGTTAGGCCCAATACGATTTTTGGCACATACAATAATCACATGTATTTTACTAAAATTATTCATCGTTCTTCTTTATGCTGATATTAAAAATGGTATCTCATTATCAAGGATGACAATTTGGGCAAATGGGTTGGGACCTCGCGGGTTTCAACCCATTTAAGATGTCTTATACCCAACCCAATTAGAAAGATGTGAGACTAGATTGCCCCAGCCCCCAACAATAATGCTATGGATACTGATTAATCTCATCGAATTGTTGTACAGACTTATGTGGCATCCAAGTCAGACGCGGCCACGTTGGATACTATAACACATCTTCTGTGAATGAATAACCGTCCAACAATTATGGACACTCGTCCATATTTGATGGATGGTTGCGCATTACAAATAGACGGTCGTCCACTAATTTGGATGAAATTTTGAATGAAAATAACAATGGTTATTATATGGACGAGAGTCCATTTCCTATGGATGAGCGTCCACATTGAATGGACGCTCGTCCATAATGATTTGCAATATTTTTAAAATGAGGAGGATTGATTTTTTAGAAGAATAAGAATGGATGCCCGTCCATATTATATGGACGGGCGGGCATTTTCAATGGATGACCATTTGTATCAGATGAACGACCTTCCATTGAATAGCAAGGCAAATAATTTTTTTTTTTTAAATTTACAAATTTTTTTCAATCGTGCAAATAAAAAAGATATAGCTTGTCTTATACGCTTCTGCAAATGAGCACCAAAATTTTTAGATGAAATAAAAAAAAAAAAATAAGACTTTATTTGTAGCTTCATTTTAAAGCTAATACCTTTTAGTTTCATCGTCTCATCTTTTTTCTATGTGTTCTTGCCAGAGCTTGTTAGTCTTCTACACGGTATTGGCAGTTTCTTCCTCAATAGCCACAACAACCAACTACCATGACAAGCAAGTCACTAATATTTTCACAAGAAAGCCACCAATTTTTTACAGAGAGAATCGTTTAGGGAGGAAAGGGAGATCAAACTTTTTTGCATTTAGAAATATTTGTTGAGATACTTAAGAATTTTTTTACTTAATTTATGCATTTATTTAGTTTCGTATTCTATCTTGGATTGAATATATGTTACAATACAAAATAACTTATGGACAATATTTGTTGGCATCTGTTTTGAACCAAATTCGTGAACACAAAAACTGGTATTGGTTTTACATGAAATTACAAAATATGGAAGAGTTCAGTTTGCCTCATTTTAATGATGTTGAGGTAAATTGTGTTCAAAACTTTAACTTTTTCGTTAACATGAATTTAAATTTGTTGTATCGTATTGTTTCTTATGATGTGTTGTATTAGTACATTCTAATTTTGTCCATTATAAAACCATTAAATTAGGAAAATGAATGTGATGAATTAGAAGATATGGGATGTGCAAAGGAAGAAGTGGAGCCTCATATTGGAATAGTGTTTGATTTAGTTGATAGTTTGGTGAAGTATTATAAAAGGTATAGTAATAAAATGGGTTTTGAAGCAACGATACGTACGTCAAA